CACTATAACTTCCAAAGCAAGTTACTTTGCAGTCACTAATTGTAGTTTTTATTGCTAAAATTGCATCTATACGCATTCAATCCAGGTTAAGTAGAACTCTAGAAGAATGATTTCCAGTTGTCAAAAGTGCTTTTCTGAAACTGGTCAAAAAAAGCATCATACATAATTGAAATTAGATATTGTCTGTCAATAAAGAATGTTTCTTGTGGTTTAATCACAATCCTAAACAATCAATCAATCAAAATATAATATTTTGAAAATTCACACGTTGGAAGCAAATCAAGCAAATAAACAAACTTTTTACTCAAACAATTAAACAAAGGGCCAAAAGGGGTAGCAAAAAATCAACAGAAAACCAAGAAACGAACCGGCATTGAAAGACACAGCATTGAGCGGATGCCCATTTGAGGATTTGAGCTGAAAGTGCTTTCTGGCGAGGATTCTGAGGGGAATCTGAGAAACCCATCTGGAGGAATGGGATTCTCTGAGCAAAGTGATGAACTTTATGAAGTGAGGTGTCTGGTTTTTGAATGAAGAGGGAGGGAATGAGGCTGAAGAAGATGAACAGGTACTCAGGTGAGTAGCCATGCAATAGGGGAAGAGATGAAGCTCAAAAAATTTGAGGAATAATTTCAGAGGAGTATTTATAACTTACCTTTTGAGATAATGTTTTGTTAAATGAGTGATATCCGTGCACACTTGGTTGGTTCAGAAAATCTCACATATCAGATCCATGCTTTGTTTACTTGGTTAGCAAAAGTATATAATATTATTTTGCACTTCTTGGTGAGAGAACGTATTGGGATTATTAATATTAACCACTCTCCAAAGAGTTAGCAAATTTTTATTTAAAAGTGTTAGTTGTTAGTTTCATTGGAGATTGGCTAGAGATGCATGCATTTGATTAGAGTGGTCCTATCACACACCCATTTTTACTTCTCATACATTAATTTTTGGCCGTTTAATCAAATGAATTGAAAAAGATCGAGGTAAAAAAATTAATAAAAGTATGTGAAAAGTAAAAAGATATGTGTGAGTAGCACCACCCTTAATATGCACAAGATAACCAGCTATAGAAAGTGGAATGAGCAAACGGAGTGACCCACTTTGTCTAAACTATATTTTGTAAACCATATAATGTGATTGTTGATGATTTGATTACTATTTAAGTATTAGTTAACGTATTTATTTTCTATTGATGACAAATCATATGATCTGCAAAGATGATCTATGAAGTGCAGCTTAAAAAATAGATAATTAGGATCGTTAAAACTCAATCTGAAGTGAGTTCCATAGCCAATCTCCAATTTTTTTGAAGAAAATGGAGATCTATCCCCTTAATAATGAAAAGGAAACTTGTCTTAAAAATTTAAGATCGTTAAAATTCAATGTGAAGTGAGTTCTGTAACCAATATTTAGTTTTTGAAGAAAATGGAGATCTATCCCCTTTACAATGAAAATGAAACTTGTCCAAAAAATGGGCCAACTCTTAAATGCTTAGACATCAAGGATTGTTGACCCCATTTTGGAAGTGACATATTTGGCCCATCCCTGGCCTCAGCCGTCAAAGCCCATCCCTAACCAGCCTATAAGTTTGAATTTGTTCTTACACAATTAGGATTAGGATAATGTTAAGAAGATTAAATTTATAAATATAATTTACAAATTAAATGATATGTCATTAATAGGAATGAACACTTTTATCAACGCTTAAGTAATAAATTAATCATTAACTTCCATGTCCTTTAGTTTCTCTATTTTTATCAATTAATTTAATCTCTCTAGCATTATTATTACCAGAAAAATGGGATTAACACGTGGCAAATCCAAGTCATCACAATGTGAACACTCATTTGTGGTCAACAAACCTCCAGGCTCCAGACGTCTTCACACGGAAGATTCAATTCAACCACTCCAAATTACTAATCTCGAAAATAATAATTGAATAAACCATACGGTTTTGGAGGTCAACCTTAATATCTAAGTCAATCCTAAAATAATTAGACATCCAAAATGATTAAGGATTTAGAATTTCTTTGTAGCACAATACACGTTACATTTTTTTTCATTATAAATGAATGTTTTAATGTTTTGAATTTGTCTAGTTTTACAAGAATGATTTATGAATAATATTTTAAAAGATAGACGGTTCGGATTATCAAAATACATTACAGAGTGAGTTTCCACAAAAACACGTGTAAAATGTTGTGTAAAAAAAATGATGTCACGAATCCACATTTTTAATAATAACTTTGAATTGGTCGAGTAGTCCATTAATATTATTTTTCTTAGTGGAATTTCAACAACGATTTTAATATTCCATCAAACATTAAAGTTCTTCCAAAAGAGCATAAAATGTTTTGAATGCTTTGGATTAAGGAATGGTTTCATAATTTCTTACCTTTGAGATAATTATTTACTTTCATTGCATGCATGCCTAACCATATGCCGAAATTGAAGATATGCAATCTTGAACCAAGCTAAAACTTCAATGTCCGGTCATTTAGTATTACAGTCTAGTGATATTCTTTTTTATTTGTAAGTGAGAGATTTTAGGTTCGGTTTTCACCAAATATGAATTTGAACTACATTATTACTAGCTCATTGTAAGACTAAGTCTATCCCCTCTACTTAATACAGATAAATATCATTTGTTATAAAAAACAAACTTGAATGTCCCATCCTCAAAATAAACCCTTGAAATTACTAGTCATCTACTTAGGCCATCTCCAACCGAAGGGTTTAGAGAGCCAGATGGTCGAAAATAGTCCGAAAACCGTCTCCAACCAAGGGCTAGACCAGAGGACTCGTGGGCCCCATGGAATTTGAAAGGGCCAAAGGGCTGGCCTAATCCAGCCAGCCAGACCGGGGCTGGCCAAAAATTCAAAAAATCCTGTCAGATATAACTGACAGGAATTCTTAAACAAAAATTTGATTCCAACGGCTAGCTGACTAGCTGTTGCATTCATTTTTTTTAAAATTTTTTTATAATGAATTTAAACCTTTTTCCCTATAAATACCTAAGTCATTCCTACACCATTTCTCACATAATTTTCACCATTCCATACTATCTCACTTCATTCTATTTTTTTTCCTATAACTTCTATTTTACAAAATTTGTTTCATATTTTTTTTGAAATTCCATTTTTTTTCCTATAACTTCTATTTTACAAATATGTTTCATATTTTTTTGAAATTCCATTTTTTTCCCTATAACTTCGATTTTACAAAATTTGTTTCATATTTTTTTTTAAATTCCATTTTTTTTCCTATAACTTCTATTTTACAAAATTTGTATCATATTTTTTTTTTACAAAACTTTACATAATTTGTTTCACTTAGAGGTTGGATTTGAATTTAAGTTGTAGTTTTTAAATAATAAATTATGTTTGGCCCTATGGCCATTTGACTCTCGGTTGGAGTTGGTTTTTTGTGACCGGGCTAAAACGAGCCCTATGGCCATTGGATCCTCGGTTGGAGATGGAGGCAAATATGGCCATGTACTGTTCATTAAAATATCAATTTCTTGGAGGGCCAGAGGGCTAAAACGAGCCATCTGGCCAGCCCTCGGTTGGAGATGATCTTAATTTCTTGGAAAGCCATAGAGCTAAAACGAGCCCTCTGGTCAGTCCTCGGTTGGAGATGACCTTAATTTCTTGAAAAACCATAGAGCTAAAACAAGCTCTCTGATCAGCTCTCGGTTGAAGATGGCCTTACCCACAAAATGTTAAATTAAACCAACTGATCAAATTCAACCATCTTTTAGTCAGAACTTTTACTTTACGTGGGAAAAAACTTTTTAACGACCTTTTCAATTGTGTGGCACCAATAGAGAAAGTCACCATCTCAAACGATGTATCATTTAAAGTGAAAATTCCAAGATCAAATTAAATTTTTTCGCCTTCACAAGGCAAATTTGGATGATATAGTTTTGCTGTCACGATAACATTTTGTGCTAATAATACAAGAACATACATTACATATTATTAACTTATTAGCACGAATCGTCATCGTAATAGTGTATTTACATCGTAAAAATTTCTTTCCTTAATGAGATAAGTAATAAGACAGCAAAAAGAACCACCATAAATTTCAATTTTTGTTTTTGGAAAGACCATTGACTTAGTCTTGGTCATCAAAATTAAATATTAAAGTGGTAGTTGACTGACCTAGGGTCTATATCTGTGAAGGGCACCACTGCAAATTTGCAAAATATCAAAATAAGTTCACACACCAAAAGGTTATTATATTCGAAAAGAGATTCTTTCCAGGTCTCTTCAATCATGATCATCGAATTAAGTAAATTAGGTTTTTTAAAAGGAAAACTAATGAAAATGTCTTGAAAACTTTGAGTTTTAATGATAAGGATAAAATAAAGGGTAAATTGAATAGTACCAGGTTTGACTTTTTAGTGTAAAAATGTGATTTTTCGTTAAAATGAACAGTACCATAGGTTTTTCGTTAAAACTCCATTTTTTTAATTTCATCAAACAGTCTACTTGTTTTGATTCCTTAAAAGGTATAATAATTTTTTACTGTTAGATGGAATTTTAAATGTTCGAATCACTTAATCCAGTAGCCTTGGTGAAAGAGATATTTTCGGAGCGATCAGGATCCTCTCCTGAGCAGATGGAGAGGATCCTCCTGACCAGGCCCATCGGGCCGTTCATTTTTTATCCAACGGCTATAATTATATAACTTTTAGAGGGACCCCCTGTTTATAACCGTTGGATAAAAAATGAACGGCCCGATGGGCCTGGTCAGATCCTCTCCATCTGAAGAGGAACCTGGTCCTTTTCGGAGATATCTCTTTCCTTTATATTCACAACTCTACACTTATATAAAGCACCCAAAAGCTTCCTTCCTTGTCAAGTGCAAAACCAAAGGCTCTCTACTCACTAGGCCTCTGAGACTCTGTTCACTGCTATCTGATTTGATCACATTTGTCCACCATCTCATCGCGATTTCGGAAAACCCTTCGAGCAATTTCTCCGAAATCCATGGATTCTATCAAGATTTCAAGCATCCAATCTGCAGGCCAATTCAAATTCAACCAATCCCACAAAGTGATCAAGTTTTTACTCTCGGTCTCAGTGTTTTCAATCTTGCTCTCTTACTCTTCTTTGATCTCCTTCTTTCTCGACTCCTTCAATTCCTTCACATTTTCTATAAATTTCGATAAGAACTACATGTTTTTACTTTGCAATGGACTCTTGGTGTTCATTGTGAAGAACTCCGGTCTCATTGGAACTTCTCCACCAGGAAGTTCCAATCTCACCAATGAAGAACACGATCTCAAGAGTGTCGAAAGCCGGCAAAAAACAGTTGAATTGGCAGAAACCAAGGCAACAAAATCTCCAAAAGCAAAGGAAGAAGTTGTCAACGTCGAAATCGAGCAAGTGAAAGCAAGAGCAGATGAAATATTGGTGTCAGTGGAAGAAGAAAAACGGGTTTTGATTGCTGCTGAGGAGGAAGATGAATACTGCAGAAACAACTCTCTTGTGGTGGACGATCATGATTTGTATGAAGAGGAAGGGGTTGAAGTGCTGAGTGCAGAGGAGTTGAACAAGAAGTGTGATGATTTCATTAGGAGAGTGAAGGAAGGAATTAAACTTGAAGTCCAACAGTCAATCATGTTTTGATGTTTTCAGTGAGATCATAAGAGCTAACAGCCTAGTTTTATTAATTGTAAAAGACTACTTTTATTTTTACTTGATGAATTTTGGGGGTATTGTTTCTTCTGTATTATCGTTTGAATTCTGTTGAAACCATAACGTGGGTCGAGTGAAATACAAAATGCCATGCCCCGGCTAAACAAGATAAAATTATTTGTACCATATTTACTGATCACATTAGATACAGAGATGTGACAGGTTTATATAAGTATGTTAAGTGAATCAGAAGATTGTGGTTCAATGGGAGAAATTTCGTGGAAATAAAGTTATTTGTATCACATTTACTGATATAAAGATGTGACGTGCTTACTTAAGTATGTCAATTTGATACATATTGTTTTGCCTAGCTGTTTCTCTGGCTGCTTAATCGTCTTTAGTGTATATATTTGTCTATCTTTCCACATATAAGATGATACTTCACATAACGAAGAATTTTAGCTTAATAATATACATTGTTAACCTATTTTGCATAAATCTAACAAACTTCACCTCTAATAATAAATGGCTGATCTGATTCCGCAAAATGTTCCACATCAAACAAATGGTTGGAGATTGGATAAGGACTTGGAAAAGTATTCACATCCCAGACCACGTCCACGTCCACGGCCACGTTCTTAGTTGAAGATTGCAACAAGTAACCAAAAGTCATGAATCAGTAGGAAAAATTCTTCGTATAAATCCAAGGACTTCAATTAGTTGCAAGGACAGGCCCAAATTTGCATTTAGAAAAAACCAAATATAATAAAATATCCTTGATTTCAATTTTTTTCCATTGAATTTAATTTCGTGTAATTTAATTTTAATTTAATTTTATGGATATGTTTGATTCTTGCTCTTGCTTTATGTTTTTGCAATGTTTATCTCCAGCTTCGGGAGAGATTTTTCAGTGTGACCGATACACGGGATGATACACTACATGTCATTATACAAATGGTTGGATATGTATGCTAAAAAGTTAATAACTTAAAAAATAAAATTTCTCACCACTTCAATTAAAACGCGTGGTGTACTACTTGTGTTTTCGTTATAATTAAAAATTTCTACAGCTGTGGAGAAGATACCAAGCAATTGCTCGCTTGACTCTTGGTTTCCAGGTCTTTCAGAACAAGACAATTACTCCCGAACAAATTGTCCAATTCGTGCAAGACTTCAAATTTGTCCGATCATACCTTAAATAAGACGCATTCTACCAGTCAATAATATGTGTATATGTAAGACACGGATGTATGTGCTGTGCTTCGTCAAGCTACTAGAAACTCTCTTCGTCATTAGGTTGTCGGGTTATCAATAGTTCGTTATTTTAATCAGACAATATGGTCCAAAATGACACTTTCTAACTCGAATATTCAAATGAATACCGAAATCGAGGTATGGTGGCGAACACTTGAAAAGTGATAAAACCATAATATGCTAATAATTTAAATCTAAATATATGTCTTTAAACAAAACACTATTTTATAAATTCATATTCTAAATTCAAGTCTAAATTAAATATATGTCCGACAACGCAAGTCTGGCAATAAAACATTATGTTATAATTCTATACTCCAAATTAAGATCTAAACATATGTTCGACAACATACATCCGATAATACAACACCACTTTAATAATCCATAATCCAAATTTAAATGGAGAATTAATCATGTTTTGTGCCGTCCATCGAAACCTTGATGCTACAATCTTTATAAACTTTAGTTGCATGTGTACATGATGAGCTGTCCAGTTATGTCCATGGTTGGAACAAGGTGTGCATATTTTCTAGACTTTTTGGTGTTGATTTAGCAGGCACAAACTGACCATCCGACAAAGCTTAGAGATCTTGACATCTTAACGAGCTTAATTAAGTGCATAATGCGATGCACAACATTCTCATAAGGTGAGCATACAAGTCACAAGAAACAGACACAAACTGCACCACCAACTAACTATGCATCACCATTTACTAACATGATATCTATTTCATCAAAATCGTCTTATTCTTGTCTGATTTTCTCGTCATGTGATGTTATCATCAGAGAAAATTGTAGTAATGGTCTCTCAATTTTAACCTATTTAAAGCAATGATCTCTTAACTAAAAATACATGACCATTTATTATTTAATTAACTCATCAAAATGTACAATTATGTTCTTTTCGTCAACTCTGTCAGAATTCCGTCAAAATGAGTCATATTGGAAGGACCATTGTTACAATTGGGTTAAAGTTGAGGGGCCATTTCTCCAATTGGGATAAAGTTGAGGGACTATTGCTACAATTTTTTTCATTTGGGTTTTCATATTTGCTCTTTGACCATTCTCACATGTGTGACTAGTGACTCATTTTGACAGAAGTTTAACGGATTTGATGAAAAGGACCATAGCTGTACGTTTTGATAAGCTAAGAGATCAATGGTAACGGATTTAGTTGAGATGCAATACTCCAATTGGGTCAAAACTTAAGGACCATTGTCACATTTTCCTCTTACCATCACACACAATATTAATGAGGTCTATTTCTCATGTCACCTAATATTACCGTCAACACAATATATAATTTCATTACGACCCACATTTCCCTTTTTGAATTGAGAAACAAAAATGATGGGAATCAGAAAAGGATGAAAAAAAGGGCAGAGGGAGCATAATGAGAGTGAAATAGACTTGGCACTCGACTTGGTTTCCTTTGAGGCAAGCACTCACAAATATTGCAATTAAACACAACGGTGGAGTGGGAGACATTAAACACGACAACCCCAATCAGACGTTTTCTTGTGTGGCTTCATACAAAATAATGCCATGGCCACATGACTAGTTAGTTTAGTACTATAACGTCTTCACTCAGACTCAAGGAGGTCTCGTGTTTGAATCACACGGATAAAAAAATATATATAATATTATGAATTCGATATTAAAACATAATTCATTAGAACTTATCCGATGACTTAATATACATAGTAATAGTACTTTTATAAATATCCTATCGTTTATGAAAAAATTAAAACTACAAATTTGAAATTTTCATTGACTTGATAGTCCAGTCCAATGAACAGAAATCCTCTTTGGATCTTTGTGTCCAAAGCTTAAAGAGCATGTGATCCGAGTTGTTGAAGAGAGAAATGAGTCTGAACCCTTAATTTATGTGACGTGAGCCAGTAGAAATGACTAATTAGGACCGTAAAGAAGACATTGAATTGGTGAAAGTATTGCCTTGTCGTTTGGCAACGAAGGACATTGAACTTTATACAAGGACCTAGAGAGACTTTCAAAATTTTAGTGACCCCATTCTGCAATAATGTGTGATGAGAAAGTCTGTGTTCATATGCCGTGGTCAGTGGTGTGTTTGAAACTAATGATGTAACCTGCTGAAGCTTTAATTGAAGAATATTTACAAAGAAGCAGCATTTTTTTACCATCATTACTATTAATATCGTATGTTCTATAATGACATATCAACATTTCATTCATTATTTAATAAAGAACTGACGTTCGTTTCATAGCGAGACACATTCCGACAATACATGGTTAAAAAGTAGACGGAAACTGCATTTAAGTAGGATATCAAGACAACATCAAAATTTTGAGGAAATTAGAAACGTCGCGTTTGCAATCCGGCTATCAAGTCACTGTCAATGCAGAACATTAAATTGAGGTCGGTGAACTCCATTTGTCCCTATATACATTGGAAGGTGACCTATCTTAGAACGCACCTTACAATTTACATTATTTTCCGATAAGAAACTGATTTCTTTCAGCACGCCATTTTCGTTCCCTGCACTCCTATTTTTATTTATGATCATTTGATTAATTGATTTAGAGGAGGATCGAGAGATATAAATAAATATGCGTGTGCAGAAGATGAAAAAAGTGTGTAGAAATAATTTTCCTCGTATGTATTATATTTTGGCTTAAAGTCAAAATGGTCTATGTGCTATAGTCATATGGTCAATTTAGTCCCCGTGTTTTGAATTTGGTCAATTTAGTCCTTGTGTTTATCTCTGTTAGCCAATTAATAATATTTCATTCAATATATGTTAAAAAATTCATAAGAAAAATTATAAGAGATATAATTTACAAAAAATGAAAATTATTAATGAGAAATAACACATATAAGAGAAAAAAAAACTTCAAATTTGAAAAATTATTAAGGTTATGACATAGAAAAGAGAGGGAAATAACGTTAGGAAATGTTTATTAAATATTTTAAATCAAATAAATAATTATATAATTAAGTTTATAATAATTTATGAATTTTCTTACAAATATTAGATGGAAATTTCCTTAATTGGCTCACGAAGATAAACACAAGGATCAAATTGGCCAAATTGAAAACACAAAAACTAAATTGCCCCAATAACTAAAACACAAGGACCATTATAACATTTAAGCCTTATATTTTTTGAAACAAGGCAACTTTATTACTAAACAAATTTACAAGAAAAAGGCCGGATTACAAAAAGCACACAACATGGATACAGCTCCGAAAGTGCAGCGAAACGAGCCCAAACGAAGGTTAAAGCCCAAAACAAAAGAAAAACCGTGACCACCGCAGCTGTTGGAAGGACGTCTACCGAACAGCCGGAACCAGCGCCACCAACAATTGTCCCAAAAACAAGCGAAACAAAGCCCTCGAGCTCGAAGTGGATAAAAAGAAAACTCCGACATCCTCCAAAGAGCACCACTGATACATCTGAAGTGTAAATAACGCTGAAAAATTGACACCCATCCAGACAATTTGAGCAGACCGGGGTTGATAAAAATTCTGTATTCATGTTTCTAAATTTTGTTTACAAATGTTCGAGAGTGAGCTTATTAATTTTAAGCACTACAATTTGATGCCTTCCACACCAACACATTTCATACACAGAGTTGAATCTTACTAAGATTCGCTGATGTTAGTAGCTGCAGCAATCGCAGCACATTCGTCAATCACCGGCATCTTCCTAACATGCTCGAGAAGACTCGTAAGTTCGCTATGAACGTAATTAAAC